TGTGACTTGCCCAAGGAAACCCAGTGGGATTCATGGCAGAGCTGGGATTAGAACCCTGGTCTCCAGAGTCTCAGTCCAACACTCAAACAACTATGCCATGCTGGCTCTCTACGTTAAATTAAACCATTAAAAACGCACCAAAGAAATCACCCCAATAAGATGCCTCCCTGGATGCAAATATGTATTAAAAGCCTGGTATGGATTTCCTACACTGGTAGGGAATTACATGGCCCTTTGGGATCCCTTCCAACTCTATCATTCTATGAGATTTAAAAATGACTTTTCTTATATAGTGAGCTCTTGGTATCCACTGGGGTTAGATTCCAGACTCCCCCATGGATGCCAAAATCCATGGATGTTCACGTCCCATTAAATACAGTGGTGTAGCAAAATGGTGTCCCTTCCATAAAATAGCAAAATCAAGGGTGTTTTTTTTAATTGAATTTCTATTTTTAATTTTTTTTTCAAGCTGTGGATGGTTGAATCGTGGATAAAGAATCCGTGGATACGGAGGTTTGACTGTATTTAAGAAATGGCCATTGGTCAGTTGTTGTCCAGTTAGTATTTACAGAGTACATGTCAACTCTTTATCTCTGTCAGGACATCTCTGGAGAACCCCAGGCCCCTGTAGGAGGCATTTCTTCTACAGATCTTCTCAAAATGGAGGCAGGAACTTAAGGCGCAACAATACCTGTTGCCATTTTGAGAATAGCTGCAGGAGAAAATGGGGATATTTGGGGGTAGTAAAGGCTTCTGACTCAATGCTACAGAATCCTGGGATCTGCAGCTTGTTGTGGCACCAGAGAAGGCTAAATATTTCATACAACTACAAATCCCAGAATTCCATAGTATTGAGTCATAGCAGTTAAAGCAGTGTCGAACTGCATTACTTCTGCAGTGCAGATTAGACCTGAGCACAGTGTAAATATGTGCGTGTGGAGATACACCATGAAAGCATAATTGCATGGTGCATACATGCACCTCCATACACAATGCACAATGGCATTGCATGCACACCTCCATTTCCACAACTTTGAACTGAATACAAATGTTCTGCATCTGATAAAAATGTCCAGCTGCTTCCATAGGGGGAGTTATGTCTTGGTCTACAGCTTTGACCTTGGATGGCATCTCCCCTCTCAATGAATGTCTTAAAGTGGTAATGGACTGG